TCAAGAGAAGCTCCACTGAGGCTATCTTAAAAGATATGCATGAGAAGCTTATCATTTTCTGCACAAGGAGCTATCTTATTGCAACACGCCTTGATGTTAGTCATCAGACAAGTGGTACCATTATACTTCTCAAAACTAGGGACTTTGAATTTAATAGGAATATTGATACTAGGCACTAGGCACAAACTAGCAACATCTAAGCCAAGGAACTATGACCTTCTAAACCTTCAATCTCTCCTCTAGGAGGTGAAACTTTTTCTCAAACTCAGTTTCATTAGTCGGGAACCTGAAGAGATCAAATGACAACTCATAATTGTCCTCATGGTGTGGATTTTCATTGATAAGGATCTAAACAGTTTTCATGATATTCTGATTCAAAGGAACCTCATTTGGAGTAAGATTAACACCTGGTGGATTCACATGATCAACAATAGTAGCAGCAGGCCTATGAAGAGTATGTCTCAACTCTTCTTGTCCATGTGCGATGTTTTGAATAAACTCCATGAATTGGCATCTGAATCCCTATTTGTGTTCTCGTCTCATTCATATTTGCTTGTGATTGATCCATGATAATAACGATGTCGGGAAGTGATCCTTGCGATCTTGAGATTCTGAATAAAATCTAGGTTACTATTAGTCTTCGGGTTGAAATGAATGAAATGCATGATGATGCATGGATGATAAGAAAAATGAACTTTATGTGATGATTGATGTAATGACATGCAACACCATAAGTTCAAAAGTTTAGTATATCAACAGATAACATTTGTACAATCTTTTGAACAATTGTTGTATAGTCTTTCGACAAGCTGAATATAACAGGATCAAAAGTTCGAAACTTGATTGAATACAAGAAGACCAGGTAGGATGAAGGCACGTTTTCTTGTAAAAAAACCCACCCTCTCACATGTAGGTTCTAGTCTTGGACAAAGAACTGATGTTCCTTATTGTATCAAGAGTCGATAGCCTTCTGTGGAAAATAACTTGTCTTGTGCATAGGCATCCAGGACAAAGGCATCCCGAGAAGTCCTCGTTTGGTTGTGGTATGGTATGCCAAGTCTTACGTGTCAGGCGCCATGGTAGTCAACATAAATATCCACTCTAATCCTATGTGATCACTGACCTATGTATTGGGCCTTTTACCTCAATTGTAACATCTCATCCAACCTGAAAAAACAGAAAAGCCAGCAACCAGCAGAGCTGTAATATCCAGAATATGGAAAGTAATAAAATGCACTTCATGCAATAAATAGACTGCAAGTAAATCATAAAGATAAACACTTAATGAAAATAAAATCAACAAGAGCTAGGATTGACTTTCTTAGGTATCCCCATCAGAGTCGCCAGTTGTCGCTACTGCGAAAAATTCCGATGCAAACAAAGTCACCATCGAATGTTATATATTCCAAAGAAAGGAAAGGAAAACATCGAGTAAACCTGAGAAAGGATAGAACATGGTATTATAACCAAGAGAAGGGTATGGAAGTCGGTTACATAAGGGAAATGTATTAGCACCCCTGACTTCTTTATTACTCCACAGGATCCACTCAAGTTGTTATAATCAAATGGTGTGTTATTTAACGCTTACAAGCTAAGGAAATGCATGAATGAATTGTTAACAAACAAAAAGAAAGTTTTTATTATTGCACTCGCCTCGGTTTTGAAACCTCCTGCCTATGTATCCTCGTCGTGCAATAGGGAATCAGAGCACCGTAGTTCTTTTGAAAAAGAATATTTCTGTTTGTGTTTTTTAATCGGACAATGTTACATTCATATTTTAGCAGTTAAGGTTTTCTGCTCGATCTTTGGAGACTTACTTGTTGTATTGCGTGGAATGGAAATAACACGCCATTACTTGAAAAGGTTTTCACAGACAAGCCCGAAGGCAAAAAGAGTTTTAATTGGTTGAGTCTTTTTGTTACCTTTAAAAAGGATTTGTGAATTGAACCACGTTAAAGACTATGACTGAAAGGAAGCACAAGGTCAGGAATGTACTGCCTCATACTTATCACAATACTTAAGGCTCATGAAACACGGTTCGCCTCTTTATTATTAAGTGTTTTTGGAATTTGATATAGAAAAAGGAAGTTTTAGTCTTAAAGATGCAAAGAGGAGAACAAAATCTAAGGAGAAACTCAAATCCTAATGTTGTCAGGCAATATGGTCATAGAGTTAGGATGTCAAAGGGAAAACTACCAAAAAATTATCATGCTTCATGGACCTAAGGGCGAGGATTGAGGGAACTTCTACCTAATGTTATCATGCTTGGTTTAGAATCTAAAGTCAATTTAATTCACATATTGAATAAGATAGAATCAAACTCCTAAGGTTAAGTGTGAGCAGAAGCAATCAACAAAGAAACAAAAGAAAGATGTCATGATCTCAGCTATGGAGAAAGACTGAGTGACTCTTCGTTCACAACAAAACAAACCAAAGAACAATGTCGTGATCTTAGCTATGGAGCAAGACTGAGTGACTCTTTGTTCACAACAAAGCAAACCAAAGAACAATGTCATGATCTCAACTATGGAGCAAGACTGAGTGACTCTTTGTTCACAGTAAAACAAACAAAATAACAATGTCGTGATCTCAGCTATGAAGCAAGACTGAGTGACTCTTCGTTCACAATAAAGAAAAGACCAAAGTAGTAAAACAAAACCCAAAATATCACTTGAAAAAGGGCACATAAGCCAAACATAACAAGTTGCAAGCAAACAATTCTACATCAAGCATGCATAAAGTCATCAATCAAACTACAAGAATGTGTCAAAGTAAACACTTAAACACATTTACAAATCCCCTAAGCGTCGTGCTTACAAGATTTTAACCCTAAGGTTTTTTAGAAATTGAAGAATGGGAGGAGCTGAAGAGACTATCCTAAAACATAAACTAAAAGTTAAAGTAAGGAAGGTATGACCAAACAAGAAACTAACACTTGACCAAATGAAGTCAACATAGAATTCTCATCCTTTGGATTATAGCCACAAGCAAATAATAAACCATAAGTATATCGAGCATCAAGTGAAAATAAATCACTAGCAGAAAGTGCATCAGATAAGCCTAAGGTATCAAATAAGGCTCAAAGTATCAAATGATCATCAAAATATCAGATAATAATCCCTGCATCAGATGAAAAACTGCACAGACAGGCAAAACCAAGATAATAGAGAAATAATCCATAGGTCTCATATGAAATAAAAACTCAAGTCCAAATGGGTTAGAACCATGTATCAACGCTACATGAACAAACGAAACATGAAGTAAATGTTTAATCAATTAATCAAGAATAAATTAACTTAATTAATTAAGTTAAGAAAAATTAATTAGCAAAGTTAATTAATTTTTATAACAAAATCAACTAAGTAAATCAACATTTGATTAATTAAGTAAAAGCAACAAAGTTTTCAAAGAGGAAGTGAGCACTTGAGTAAAGCTTACACAAACCATGGACATGTTAATAACACAAAAGAAAATGTAATAAACAAATGGGAATTTACATTTAATTCATGCATAAGTAAATCAATTTCTCAATCAAAATCACCATACGTGTTTGGATAAAATAACAAAGCAAGAATCATAGATCACATATGCAATTAACATTCAATTGTGTATTAACAAAGTAAGTGATAAAAAAACAAGTCGCAACAAATATCTCATGAAATTTTTTAACTCTCACAACAAACTTCAACCATATCATAACTTCAATTAATAAACCACACCATATAAACCATGAAAGAGACGAAGATTCAATCACTAAAAACTAAATCATCACAAATATCAAGCACCCAACAACATAGTGATTCTCATGGATGTAGGAGAATTAAAGATTTTGATTCGAAGATACTCAAACCGGTTTTTACAATTTAAAAAATCCATTTCATTCATTCAAAACCAAAATCACATAGCATGAACTCAAGTATCACTCAATTTAAATTCCACAATAAGCAAAACAACAATTGAAACAAGATTTTTTAGAATCTCATTAATACTCGGGCAGCAACAACAAAGGAGCAATGAGGCTCAGAAAATTCCATCTCAAATATGTTCAACACAAACGGGCATAAATTCGATGCCACAATCAAAATTCCTCATTCAGATTTAGCTCAAAGTTAACATAGATACTATCAAAATTTCTTCAAATTTAACCCGAATAACACAAATAATAGCTCCAAATTCATTAGTTAGAGTTAACACATATGCTATCAAAATTTCTTTAGATTTAACCCGAATAACACAAATAATAACATCAAAATTCATCATTCAATTTAACACAAATGGTCCTGAAATTAACTTAAATGAAAATAGTGAAAGTGAAATTGAAGTTACAAAACTCACAAAAATGGAGGTGGTAAGGTGGTTGTTGTGGTAGAGACCGGAAGGGCGAAGACGGACGGAGGAGTGTTAAACGGGGGTAGTTGACAAATATTAATGGAGTGGGGGCAAGGTATGATCGGAAATGAGGTATGATCAGAGTGTTTCAAAGCTCTTCCTCTTTCACTCTCTATGCGTTTTTGTTTCTCACCCACTGATACGCTTTCTTCTCTATTCTTATCTCTATTTATTATATTCATAAAGTTAGGTTTTGCTATTTTGTTAAATTGTAAAAATTCCCTTTTTTATAAAATCAAACTAAAAAGATAAAAGAATAATAATAACCACATCGAAAAATATTTTATTTCAATTTTTTCTTAATAAAAAAGGAGATAGGAAATAATAAAAAATTTAAAAATTGGACACCTAATTAATCGAATAAACTAAATAAACATATTAAAATAAAATATAGGTCACAAAGTTTAATAAAAAAGATTGCAAATGACTAAAATCCATAAATAAAACTAAAATAAAAATACCCGGCTAAAAAGAGATTACAAACTGCACCAAAAAATAAAGTGAGCACACCGACATGATCTACGTGCAACATAGATTCATAAAATAGTCAGCTAAAGATGACAACTTGAAATATTTTACCTGTTAATTTTCTACACAGTGTCGAATCGCTTTTAACAATCTGCATGTAGAACCGAAATATCAATATTATCGTAATATGATCAACTTGACACAATACATGAAACGGTGTAAAGAGATAAAATTGCATGAATTGAGATATCAGATATTTTTAACTCTAAAATGATGAAAATATTAATTTAAGTTGACTTTTGCTCAACCTAAATGCATGAATGACCGACTAATGATGCAAATGTGATGAATGATTGACTGTTTATGCAAATGACTTAATGGAAACGTATGTAGATGAATGTAAATCCTATGTTAGGTAAGAGCAAAATCAGAAGGGAAAATTTTGGGGTGCAATAATACGCTTATATTTTCCCTCATTTATTATCCAAAATCGATATAAAATGTGTTTCTTTTTCAATAAAAAATACATTAAATATGTTCCATCCCAAGTGCCGCATACCTCTCGCTTTCAGTTAAAAACTGAGTGGAATAAGCTTTTTTTATAAAGAAGACATTGTTTTCACATAATATTAAAACACATTGTTTACAACAAATTCAGATTTTGACAAATCTTATTCATCACCGTCATTGTTATTGTTTGAGAACAATAAATCTTTTATGTTATCCAAATTTTATTGCATACCATTTCTGCACACTTATTTTAACTTCCAGTTCAACGATGACATGCATCCTATTTCTGATAAGTTATATGTTCCAACCATGGAAAATTTATTTTGTACTTGAAATCCATCCCAGAGATCTATTTCAAGATTTCGTTATCTTGAGCAAATGTTTTCATGACAAATGCTTTCACAATATCTTGTGGATCGGTGTATTGACAGTATCTTGAGCGTTGTTACTTTATGCATATAGAACATATATTTGATGTTGTAGCTAAATAACTAAACCCCTCAGTTTATTTTTAAAATCGACGACAAATGTTTTTTAAAAATAAAAATATAAAATTAAATAAGCACTTGTCCTATGTTTTATAAAAAAACAAAGGTAATATATTACTTGCAAAAAATTGGTAAATGGTAAAAAAAATTGAAAGTAACATGTCTTATTTCATTTTCAATTTTTTATCATTTCCCAATTTTTTGTGCTTCAATTGCTTATAATTTACAACATGTTTATGAATAAAATTTTCAATGTTGTCAATCGAGAAAAGCAATAAATTATGATTTCTTTGATTGACAACATATGAAGGTTATTCCAAAAATACAATAACAACATCAACACCATTATGTGAGATAGATTGCAAGGACAAAAAAATATTTTGTTTAAGATAAAGGAATATTATAAAAAAATTGTATTGCAATAAATCCCAAAGAATGATGCATAAGAGTTTGAAACGGCTACATATAATTTAGGTTTAGAATAAAATCTTATTGACGAGTGCTTTTATAGTAAAATTTGATTATTTAATCACTTGGTTATTACAGACTCTGAAAGATTATATCATTTATTTATAAATAAATAATAAAATAAATAGAAAGGCGCCAATTTTTAAACAATAAAAACATAAATTGCATTTGTTGGTATTCGAAGCATGTCTTAAATTATTTGTCCTCTCGATTATATTTAGAAACAGAGAGAATATGTGGTATTTATTTCAAAAAAATATAACATGGTGCGCCTTGCCATTTTACCTCGGTGTTTTGTCGGGTTAGGTGAAAGCTTTTTCATGAAATGCATTATTTGTAGTAGTATTATAATTTTTTTTTCTGTTTACTTTCTCATTTAGGACTAAGTGATTACAAGAGAATTACGACAACCAACATCTCTCAACAACCTGAGAGAGCAGATATAGACTACTAGATATATATGTTATGCATCATGATAACACACATACATCCATTACATACATAGCTACTCCATAATAAAAATACATAAGCTAACTTAGACAATTGCATGCTAGAACAAGCTTCGACTACTACACGTACATCTCGACTACTAGATACTTGAACAGACTTCGACTATATTATGAACAACTTAGTAGAACCATGAAGCTACCCTTGTAGAAACTAGAGTTCGATCTAAATACTATAAATATCCACCTTAGAGAAAAATCTACAACCTCAAGGGAACAAACTAACTATCATCATACAACTTTATCATCTACATACAATGGAAGAACTTGTTGCTTGGTAGTGACTCGGTGATCATATTGGCAACATTGTGATCAGTTGAAATCTTCATCACTTTGGCTTCTCCACTTTCAATTTTCTAACTCACAAAATGCATCCTAACATCAACGTTCTTTGTTCTCTCATGGTAGGTTGAATTCTTTGACAAATGTTTAGCACTTTAACTATCTCATTTAACATTGATATCTTGACCTTGAAGTTCTAGTTCCTTAGCAAACCCTTCTAGTCACAATGCCTCTTTTACAATTTCAGATAGGGAAATATGTCCAGCTTCAATGGTTGATAAGACTACAACCTTCTGAAGCGTTGCTTTCCAACTAATTATTAAGCCAAACATAATGAAAACATATCCTAAAAGAGGTTTTTTGGTATCCATACATCCAACATAGACAACATCCAACATAGACAGAGTCAACAAATCCTTTAAATCCGGCTTTGCCATCATCTATGGATCCAACATAGACCATGACCTTACTCTGGGATCCTTTTATATATCTCAAAATCAACTTCAAAACTTGTCAGTGTGCCTTCCCAAGATTGGCCATATACCTACTTAAAAGGCTCACACTGTATGCCATGTCTGATCTATTTTGAATGTCTCTCTTATAGGAATAGGAGCCACCCAAGGACCTTCCAATAATAAAGTATCTTTATCATTACCTAGTGTTAGTTCCATTTTTTTATGGTTAGCTAAATTTTGTCTAAGCATGTTTCTATACATGGTTCTAAGTTGTTGTTGAGGACAATGTTGCAACATCTTTATCAATTGTCATAATAGTTTTACTTGAACTTTAGACTCAATTGCAACTTATTTGTTATGTTTATGTTTTTAGACTTGCTCTAGTTACTAGTGATTTTATTGATCCTTGTTTAGTTAATGGTTGATTGCTTTTGTATTTTGAAAAATTGATATGTTATTCTCTTTTCTTAGATAGTTAGTTTCGTTGATTCTTTGTTTATGCATTACCTTATATTTCACAACTATATGTTTCTTTTGGTGATTTGTGGTTCAATTTTTTAAAAGTAGAATTTAAACTTAGCTATTAAATAGAGGCACTAGTATTCCTAGTAAAGATCATTGTGTGATTTGAAAATGATTTGTAAATTTTTTTCATGCTATTTAATTTTTTAAAGGTCACAGGTTCCTACATGAACGAGTTTGTGAGTGCATTTGGGATTGAAGTACTTATGCATCGTCTTTTTTGTAGTGATGTGAAAACATAATCTTATATAGATTAGTTAATTAGTTAATATAACATTGCTATAGTCTAGTTTTGTATGATTTTTATTTCAATAAATTGTCAATAGTTTAAAGTGAGCTTCTACTATTATACAGAAGCCAAGCTTTGTTTCCAAAACTTTTAAATGGATGCTTAATAAAACTACTACTTGCAAATGATATGGTCACAGTAACTAATAAAAACAAACATTTAGATATCTTAAGGAAAACATCTCATGCTGGTGGTAAGCATTAATAATTTAATAAATTCAGCCAAACATCTAGTACTTAATAGGATGATTCCTATCTAAAAACTTAGATGTGGAAACATACATGTAATTTTATGTCCTGTTGAAATTGAATGTTATATAGTATGCTTTGCCAATTTTTTATGTAACATCCCCTTCACTGAAACACTACAGCGGAGGGTGCATTTGTAGTGTCATCCTCCGCTAAACTCCACTGCTATAATACGCGTTACTGATAACACTAGAAATGAAAAATGGAAACTAAAAGAAACAGGTTGCCTCACTTCAGCAACCTACAGCCTTCTTCACTTCAGCAATGTTCAACAACTTTTCAACCAAATCATCTTCATAAGGAATATTATTTTATAGTTAAAAATAATTTACTAACAAAATTTGCTTTAATGACTATAAATAGTGTTATTATGGAAGATAAAAAGCTCTTCCTTGCTGTCAATAGACACTCTAAAAGATAGTGTTATTCTAAAAGTTCTGTTAATGGTTTTGTTTACATAGTTGTAAATGTTTTTCCTACATTGTAATTACTCAATTTGATCTTAGGAGGTTTGGGTGCTGTGAGAGATCTTAGGAGGGGAGAACTTATTCTAAGAGTTCCAAAATCTGCTTTAATGACTACAAATAGTGTTATTATGGAAGATAAAAAGCTCGTCCTTGCTGTCAATAGACATTCTTCTCTATCATCAATTCAGGTTTTTGTTCTTAATTGTACTTAATTGAGGCAATTCTGTTAATGGTTTTGTTTACATAGTTGTAATTGTTTTTCCTACATTGTAATTACTCAATTTGATCTCTGAAATCACATAATGTCAAGTCGATAAGTAGATTTGTCCCTCTGTCGTTATTCATACAGACTATATTAACATTAAGTTGGTAATGTCAGAGGTGCATTTGAAACTAAGTGAATAATATTATGGATACATTTGATAACATATTTAGATCAAGAGACAAACTTGCTTAACATTTTACAAGTCTAGATAAAAGGCCAAATAAAAACAATGGTCAAACATTAAAGAAAGAGATTTGGTTTCAAGATTTGATATCCAATCACATTTCAAACAACTCTTTAACAACCTTGACTACTATGAATTCCAACATGAATAAACGGGGGAAACTCATTTTCAATAAAAGAATAATTATGAAGAATACCTGAGTTCAAGATCCACGAAGGAGAGGACGAGAGGCAAACGCTGTGAGCGTTGCTGAGCGATTCAGATTGAGTGTTGCAACACGAGAAATGCGAGTTGCAGAGCGAGAGTGGTGAACTAATCTAAAATAAGAAGCAAAAAATATTCAAAATGCCAAAATTCCTAAATTCCTTATGAAATTGCTACATAAGTATCAAGAGGATATTGATACAGATATACATATATTGTGGTATACTACTCAACATAACAAAATCAATACATATTTTCACAATAATCAAACAAAGTAGCCAACCCAGTCATGCTACACAATAAACTCAATGCATTGTTTCTAGCATCAGTTGCCTCACTCCAATTCCCTCTTTCAACTAATCTAACAGCTTCAAGTTGTGCTTTTTCCAACTCATTCTTTTGCTTCTCATTGATTAATCCAACGTAATAAGCATTAGCAGCATGAGTAAAAACTTGTGTTACAGGGTCTGTTAATCCATCACCAATTGCCAAACCAGCTAAATTAACTAATTAACTACTGAATCTAATTAAGGCTAATTAACTAGGAATTAGGTTAGGAATTAGGGCTAATTAACTACTGAATCTAAATTCATAAATTCATTGCAAAACAGCAGAGCAATTCAGAAAAAAGTGATCATTGCAAAACACAAAATCAAAATCGGAGCAATCAGTATCTAACGGACGAATCGAAATGAAGAATTGAAATGAAGAATCGAAAACACGATTTTGAAAAGAAATATGATGAAAAGATTTCAACCTGAAACGATTTTGAGAAGCGATTGCAACCTGAAGCGATTTTGAGAAGCGATTCCTTGCAACCTGAAACGATGAAATGATGAAATGATTTTGAGACGCGATTGCAATCTGGAGATGAAACAATGAAACAATGAAATGAAAGATTTCAACCTGATTTGCTGAAACGGCGATTTGCTGAAACGGTGCTTCTCACAATTTCTACTTCTCACGATTTCTGCTTCTGCTTCTCACGATTTGCTAAAACGGCGATTTGGTCTTTGCTCTTTGCTCTTTCGTTTCTGAGAAGCTGAAAAGATTACAATCTGAAATATTTTTAATTAAATATTTTACTTTATACATAATTATAATATTGATTTTATTTATAAGTTAATACATAATTAATACATAGTTAATACATAATTTTGATTTTATTTTATAAGTTAAACTTTAATTCAATTTTATTAATTTAATTAAAATTTAATTTTAATTTACTAATTTATAATATTAATTTTATTTTATAAATTTGAATTTAATATACTTTTGATTTGATTTTATAAAATTTATACTTTGTTTTATAAATTTAATTTTAATTAGTTTTATTTTAATTTACTAATTTATAATATTGATTTTATTTTATAAATTTAATTTTAGTTAGTTTAATATATTGGTTTTTTATTTTATAGTTAAAAATAATTTACTAACAAATATTTTGAAACAATAAAAAATGAACCAATTTGATGGAGGAAAATGAAATTATTTGGCACTAATATTAGCGTCGGCCCAAAGCGTCGCTAATATTAAAAATTAATAATTATTTAATACAATAAATAAAAAGGAGACAAACGAAATAGGTGGAGGGAAACAAAATTATTTGGCACTAATATTAGCGTCGGCCTAAAGTGTCGCTAATACTAAAAATTAATAATTATTTAATACAATAAATAAAAAGGAGGCAAATAAAATTGGTGGAGGGGAATGAATTATTTAGCACTAATATTAGCAAAACCCGTCGCTACTATTAAAATTAATATTTATTTAACATAGTACTTAATAAGGAGGCAAACATAGTAGTTAATAAGGAGGCAAATGAAAATTTGGCACTAATACTAGCGGCGGCTCAAACCTGTTATTAAAAATAAAAATAGTATTTAATACAATAAATAATAAGGAGGCAAACAAATTGATGGGGAAAGACAATTATAAAGAGCATATATCAAACTGAGTATCTTCTCCACCCAAGGGGATACCAAATTGTTGATGTAAAGTTTAGGGATAAGCCAATTATTGATGTTTTGAATCATTTGAAGTCAATTGAAACTTATGTTTGTTTTTTATGTAGAAAATGGATCAAAGTTGGATGTACGATAGAGTAAATTCCAATAGGTATGGTTTGGAAGATGGATTTGTTAGTGGAGTTGAAGATTTTGTCATTAAAGCCATTAATCGATTAGATTTTTTAAATGATGGAGGGATAAGGTGTGCTTGGGAAAATGTGTATGCATTCCCTTGAAGACGCCTAGTGAGGTTAGACATCACTTGTACAAAAATGGTTTTTTTCCTAACTATTATACATGGAGTGATCATGGAGAAGATACTCAGAAGGTAGACTTTCATGGTCATTCTAGTAGTGGCAGAAATGATGGTGGGGATAATCAGGGTGATGAAGAACAATTGGATGCAATGAATGAAATGGTATATGATGCTAGGAGGCAATTTGTTAATGTTCCCAATGGGAATGCTAACATGGAAAACGAAACAGCTAGTGAGGGCAAGGTACCAAATGAAGAAGTTCAACGATCTTATGGTGTATTAACCTCTGCAAACCAACCCATTTATGAGGGAGATTCTGAATCCAGACTATCTATTTTAGTTAAGCTGTTGGCTGCCGTGTCTAATTGAGACGTAGAGCTCATCATGATGTTGCTATAGAATTGGTGTGTATTCTATTTGTAATTTCAATGTGTCAACATATTTATATCTGATATCCATCGTAACCATATATATGTTGTCTTTATTTATAGGAGAAAAAGTTGAGCCGACCACCAAATCTGGACGAGCTCTTCATGGTCACCCACAAAAAGAAGAATGGGCAGTGGATTGACCGTCGTGCAGAGAATACATATGTAAGACCTTCTTTATGCCTTAACTTAATTTCATATATGTGTCTAGTTTTTTCATACTGCATTAATGCTTCCATATTGCTTCCATATTGCTTCCATACTGCATTTAGCTAATTTCCACCGTGATTTTGAAAAGCTGGTAGCTTCTGTCACACTGTGATTTTTATACTTTCCAAACACACACTCAATAGTGAATTTGACCATAAAGGTATCCAACAAAAAATTTAGTAGACTAATCAAAGAATCTTTTTGATTACTTTATCATGCATGAAAATGAGGCAAATAACAATTTTAAGGCCTCTACAAACTACACAAAAACCATGGCAGAAAATTCAAAATGAGTGCCTAAAAAAAGTATTTTAAAATAGACCAATATCAACTATTGAACCAAACTAATAATATCGTTAGCCCCGCCAATAGACTTCCTAAACAATATCTATAATGAATATAAAATGATAAAATTATATTAAATTATCTTTCCTATAATTGCAACTACAATATCTCTTATTAATTTGATGAATTCATAGTAATGATTGGCTGCCACCATGTTTTTATAAACTGTTAAGTCACATGAACCAACAGATAATGCTAAAACTAGTAGCAGAGTTAAAGTATAGCCAACTGTGTAGCACATACACTTTTGATCGAAGGTGTGTACGGCTATGTTGTTAAAAGCAGAAAAATGAGTTCACCGTCTCAACCGTGTTGGATACTATTGATGTTAGTTTTAAGCAGAAAAAACTAAAAAACGTACATAAGATAGACTAATATAAAGTTCAAACAAATCAATAATTACGCAGCGATAAAGTTCTTAACCAATCAAGCATTAACTGGCATTCTCAAAAGTAAAGACTAATATAAGATAGACATTTACCCCAATACTCCGTATCACCCATAAGCTTACATCCATATTATCCCTACTTCGCTTTTGTTGAAAGCTAGAGACTCTTCAAATATGATGCCTGCATATCCTATTACAAATAGCAATGCCATAGCAAGATCCTGCAGCGAGAAATCACACAGAACTACCAATTTCAGAAAATATCATATTTACATAGTTTTTTTTTCCGCAAATGCATGTACTACATTGTGAAATTTAGCAGAAATGAAACCAGGTAAAATGAAAATAATGAACCTGATTAGCAGCCACCCAAGAATGGTTAATTGCTACTGTCCCAGTTGCAGCTGCCGCAAATATCGCAACTGCTTTGAGAAAATCAGTCTTGGGCTGGTAATTGTCTTCGAAATCTTGCGAGCTTGTTTCATCAACTGAACATAAGGGATCACAAGTTCCAGATTCTGATGTCAAATCCTATTACCAAAATTAACCCCTTAGTATATGAGAACCATATTCCATAGCTTTGTAATAACAGTACTAATAACGCACACAATTATTATCTGAATTACCAAGATTAACCCTTTGATCTTGTATTCCTACTACTAGCCTTATTAAATATTGAATCTTTACTGAATTAGTGAGATACCCTTAACCTTAACATTAACATTAACATGTAATTATGCAAAAAGCATGAAACATGAAAACTAGTAAACAAACAGGCAAAAGGGTTAAAGGGGTAATCATAAAAGAACATGGTACTGCTGTTGTGAACTTTGTGGAGGCTGAAATGAAGAGTCAGAACCTGGTACTGCTGTTGTGAACTTTTTGAAGGCTGAAATGAAGAGTCAGAACCTGGTACTGCTGGTACTTCTGTTATGCAACTTGAAAATTCAATATTAGGGAATAACATGTTTCTCTTCTGCATAAACAGGGTGCAATTTAAAATTCAGTTTTGCTGTAATGACTGAACGATAGAGTAAATTAAATTAAATTGACATACCCATCACGGAAAAAACCTGCATCACTCAAGTATTTAACAGTAGTAGTTGTTGACAAATTAAACTAACACAAGCTAATTTCCTGCTACAATTATCATATATCTTATTGTTTCAGGAAGCTTATTGGAATGTCCTAATTATTATATTGTGTTGTACAGGATGATTATGTGAATCGTCTAACACAAGCCACCCAAAATGATAATAATGTGGATGGGTCGGAAAAGCTACAATTATGGAAAGAAGCTACCGGCAGTAAGTCACGAGGCCGATGTTATGGAACTGCCCGAATGACAGTCAACATACAATATGAAGTGTCTTACTTGACACAAGTGACCATTTCAAACTCGAATAAAGAAGCGGAGAGCCAGGCCATTGAGATGGCTAGAAAATAGGCTTCTAGAGAACATGAAGAGGCTGCATTAGCTAATGCGCGTGTAGACGAAGCGAATGCGAATGCAAGAGAAGCTATGGCTGAGACAGCAGAATTGAAAAGGAAATTTGAAGAATTTCAGAAACAACTGTTTGCTTGGCAGTCAGGTCAGGCGGGTACTTTCACTATTCCTTCTAGTGTCCATCCTAGTGCCTATGATCATTATGATGATGACTCTGATGGTCAGTCATTGGATCTAGAGGGAATGAATGATGGATGTTGACATTGTCTTTTTCTTAGTTTTAGAACTTGTTTTGTGGATTTTCACTAGTTTGATATTTTGTGTTGGTATTTTGATGTAACTTTGACATCTCTATGTAACAACATTGTAGATGAGAACTAGTTTGATATATTGTGTCAATATTTTGATGTAACTGTGACATGTTAATTAATGTAGTAATATCGTAGATTTTTGTAAGTTTGTTATCTTGTGTTGAGGCTTTTGTGATAATATATCAATGAATAGTTTGAATTAAAAAAACAGGATTAAATTTCAAGTAGAATTAATTTAGATTTAAATAGGTATATATAATATAAAACAGAATTGCTAGAATAAATAAGTAATAGCGTCAACTATCACCGACGCTTCTAAACAGCATAATAGACAGTTAGCGTCGACTTTGAGCTATGCTACATTGGACAACGCTACATGTAGCGAAGGCTGGTCGTTATAGTTTGCTTCCACCTTTAGCATGTTCGTCCTGACACCAAGCCGACGCTAAAGGCATTTAGCGTTGATTTTTTACTTGTTAACGATGGTTTTTGGCCGACGCTAAAATGCAAGTTTCTTGTATATATGAGAGAGAGAGAGAGAGAGAGAGAGAGAGAGAGAGAGAGAGAGAGAGAGAGAGAGAGAGAGAGAGAGAGAGAGAGAGAGAGAGAGAGAGAGAGAGAGAGAGAGAGAGACTCATTTTGGTCCCTTAACTTTTAAAATGTTTCATTTTAGTCCTTTTTGTCTAATTAGCGATGAATTTAGCGACTGATGTCTAAGTTTTTCCATAGTTAATTAGACAAAAATGACTATAACAAAATATTTTGAAAGTTAAGGGATCAAGTTGACACGAAAAAAATTAAGAGACTAATCTAAACCCAAAAATATTGTTAAGGGACCAAAATAAATATTTTACCTTTTTTTATCCTAAAATTTCATGTTTATTCATTTAAATTTCAATGTGTTGTATTTAATTAATATATTTTATTTCCTTTTCTAATATCAAATACAATATATTAAAAAATCTCTCATTCTATTTATTTCTACTCTTCTTTTTTTGTTTTTAATATTTAAAACTTCAATTTATATTACAATTTTAATAATGTTATATTTAAAAGGATAAGTTTTAAAACAAAAAAAAGCTTTAAATTTGCGTTATCAAGTGAATTTTACTAGATTATGATATGAAAATATAATATTATTTTTACAAATCAATAAACGATTGACATAATAATAATAATAATAATAGTAATAATAATAATAATAGTAGTAATAATAATGATAATAATAATAATAATAATAATAGTAATAATAATAATAATAATAATAATAATAGTAATAATAATAATAATAATAGTAATAATAATAATAGTAATAATAATAATAATAATAATAATAATAGTAATAATAATAATAATAGTAATAATAATAATAGTAATAATAATAATAGTAATAATAGTGATAATAGTAATAATAATAATAATAATTAATAATAATGATAATAATAGTAATAATAGTAATAATAATAATAGTAATAATAATAATAGTAATAATAGTAATAATAATAGTAATAGTAATAATAATAATAGTAAAAATAATAATAGTAATAATAATAATAATAGTAATAATAGTAATAATAATAATAATAATAGTAATAGTAATAGTAATAATAATAATAATAGTAATAATAATAGTAATAGTAATAGTAATAATAATAATAGTAATAATAGTAATAATAGTAATAGTAATAGGAGTAGTAATAGTAATAGTAATAATAGTAATAGTAATAATAATAGTAATAGTAATAGTAATAATAGTAATAGTAATAATAATAGTAATAGTAATAGTAATAGTAATAATAGTAATAATAGTAATAATAGTAATAGTAATAATAATAGTAATAGTAATAATAATAATAATAGTAATAATAGTAATAATAATAGTAATAATAATAGTAATAATAATAATGATAATAATAATAATAATAGTAATAATAATAATAGTAATAATAATAATAGTAATAATAATAATAATAATAGTAATAATAGTAATAATAATAATAATAATAATAATAATAATAATAGTAATAGTAATAATAATAATAATAGTAATAATAGTAATAGTAATAATAATAATAGTAATAGTAATAATAATAATAGTAATAGTAATAGTAATAATAATAATAATAGTAATAATAGTAATAATAATAATAATAATATTGATGTCAGGAAGGTTGCTTGCAATAGCCAGATGATTCATTGTGGGGTTTATGATTTTAATGGAAGTTTCAGATTCTGGTTAACAGCTATATATGGCCATAATAGCCTGGAGCAGAGGAAAAAACTGTGGATTGATTTAGATAACCTGCATATTGTTGGAGCCTGGTGCCTTGTTGGGGATTTTAATAATGTGCTTAGTGCTCATGACAGGATAGGGGGTAAAATGGTCGTGGAAGCTGAATTTAAAGACTTACAGGATTTTATGGATAAGAATGGACTTTATGAAATGGATAGTAAAGGGGATCATTTCACTTGGTCTAATAGGCACTCTGTTGACATGATTTACTCCAGGATTGACAGACTTTTGGGAAATGTTACTTGGTTTCAGTCTCACTTGTCTCATTCTCTTCACATTTTGTCTCCTTTAATCTCTGATCATGCTCTGCTCTTTGTCTCTAATCAGATAGTCAATACAAACAAGATCCATAGATTTAAATTCTTGAATTGTACTACTGCAGTAGATGGCTTCCTTGATGCATTTCAAACTAATTGGAGTCCTCATCTGGATGGTAGACCCATGTTTGTTCTATGGAATAAGTTGAAGAGATTACAACTTGTTTTAGTCAAACTTCAGTTGCCTCTGCTCCAAGCTAGGAAACAGATTGCTCTGGCTAGGAACAAGTTGGATATGGCTCAGACTAGACTGCAGGATGATAAAATGAATACTGAGAAGATGAATGAGGTTAAGAAGTTATCTGCAGAACTTTTGTCTTGGAATGAAACAGAGATTGCCATCTTAAAGCAAAGAGCTAAAGTCAATTGGCTAAAATTTGGTGATGAAAATTCCTCTTTCTTTCATTCTGTTGTGAAATCGGAACAGGAACCCACGAATATGTCTTGTATTATTAGTGAGGATGGGTCTGTTTTGTCTTCCCATGCTGAGATTGAGCAAGAAATTCTCTCTTTTTATGGTGACCTGATGGGTAGCAAAGAGGAAGAAATTATTAGGATTGATTTGGTTGCAATGAGAAGGGGTGCCCAGCTTAATAGTTCTCAAAGAGAATTCCTTGAATTTGCCATCAGTGATACAAAAATTTATGAAGCCCTCAAAGATATCAGTGATGTGTCAGCCCCTGGTATAGATGGATTTAATTCTGTGTTCTTTAAAGCTACTTGGGACATTATCAAGTATGATTTGCTCGTTGCTGTTCACGAGTTCTTTAATAGGAATTACTTATACAAAGCGTTCAACTGTTCCAGTATTACTCTACTGCCTAAGACAAAATCTGCTAGGAGAATTACTGATTTCAGGCCTATATCTGTCTGCACTACCATTTATAAAATCATTTCAAAAATTTTGACAAACAGATTGGGGACAGTTATTGGAAGTATCATCAGTCCAAATCAAGCAGCATTCATCCCTGGGCAGCAAATTCATAATCAGATTCTCCTTGCGTATGAGCTCATTAAAGGATATTCGAGAATATATGCTACTCCGCGGTGTATGATACAGATTGATATGCAAAAGGAATATGATATGGTTGATTGGAGGGCCCTGGATAGCATTCTTCAGGAGATTGGTATTCCCAATAAATTCAAAAAATGGATCATGCTTACTGTTACCACTGTATTGTATCGTTTCAATGTCAATGGGTCTCTGTCTTCTTTGTTGCAGGCTCAAAGGGGCATAAGGCAAGGGGACCCCATTTCCCCTTACCTTTTTGTCATCACCATGGAATACATGCATAGATGCCTCCACCAGATGCAAATGAACCCCAATTTTAATCATCACCCTAAGTGTGAAAAACTCCAGATTACAAATCTTGCCTTTGCGGATGATTTGCTTCTTTTTTCTAGAGGTGATATTGGATCCTTATCATTGATGATGCAAGCTTTCAACCGGTTTTCTCGTTCTACAGGTATGAAAGTTAATTCTCTTAAAAGCAAAATATACTTTGGAGCTGTGGATTTGGATACTAAACAGCAAGTGCTACATTTGACTAAATTCCTTGAAGGGAGCCTCCCAGTCAGATATTTGGGGGTTCCCCTCTCTTCTAAGAAGTTGGCTGCAAAATATTACCTGCCCCTTATTGATAAGATTGTCAGTAGGATTAGGCATTGGTCTTCCCAATTATTGAGTGCAGCTGGTAGACTTCAACTCCTCAAATCTGTTATTTTTGCTATGAATAATTTTTGGTTCACTTGTTTCCCTATGCCTAAAGTGGTGCTGCAAAAGATTAATACTATATGCAGATCGTTCTTCTGGGCTGGTACATATATGATGAGTAGGAAGAGTCCTGTGGCCTGGAAACAAGTATGTAGCCCCAAGAAAAATGGTGGTCTTGGTTTAATTGACTTGTCTATCTGGAATGAAGTAGCTATGCTTAAATTGATGTGGAATCTCTGTGCTAAAAAAGATAATTTGTGGGTTAGGTTGATACACTCCTATTATATGAAGAATGTTGATATCATGGAATGTAAGATTAAAGATAATGGCACTTGGATAATGAAACGGGTTATGGTGACAAGAGAATATATTCAAGTTATTCAGACCCTTTGGGAGGCCATGTTGTGTGCTGGTAAATTTTCTATGAAATCTGTGTATTCCCAGTTGAGAAGTAATGAGCCAGTGGTCAGCTGGAAGTCTCTCATCTGCAAAAACTCTGCTAGGCCTAGAGCTGTTATTACATTATGGTTGGTCTGTCATCACAAGTTAGCTACAAAGGAGAGGCTTGTTAGGTTCGGTTTTATTACATATTCGATTTGCTGTTTTTGTTCTAGTATTGAAGATAT